TTTACCCAACTGTAAGCAAATGTAAGTGTGCTGAACATGTTTAAGGTAGGGTTGGCTTAGCTGTGACATTTGGTAGGTTAGGTGTATTCGATGCATTTTCAGCTTACAATGTTTATTGGGAGGTAACTCCGTTGTTAGTCAAGGAGCATCTGCAGTTTTCCATCTCCGCTTTATTTGAATGACTCCATTTAATTTTTGTAATAACCCCATGAGGTAGGTACTAGTTAACTAGATTTAGTCACTTTTCTGAGGTCACCCAGAAAGGAAGTCCTAAAGTCAGGATGAAATCCAGTCTAGTGGCCCCATTTTTAAACCACTTTTCTTCCGAGTTTCTAAAAGCACCAAATATTGACCCACTTCTCCCTGCTCTGGGACCTTTTTGGGAGTCCCTGCACCTCAGGCTGAACTCTGCCAACTCTCTCCCTTCCCCTGTTCTCTGTCTCAAAAAGGCCTCCCCTCTCAGGCATTCATTTCCTCTTAACCCACTGCCTGTCCTCATACCGAATTTGGCATCAACCCTAGAAAACCCTAAGTCCTCTTACATTCTAATTAATAAGTCCTCTGCCAGACTGGTGTTCTCTCAGTCTGCATACAATTGGAATGAAGTCACCAGATGTAACCCAAGAGCTCATAGTCGAACAAAGCCTATTCAGTAAATATGTTGACTCTCCTGTGGTTTTTAGCTTGAACCTTAGTTCTACTGTTAATTTGCCATGTGACCCTAGGCATATCAAAACCTCCTGGTTTCTTACCTATCAATGGTGATTTGAAAAAAAACAAACGCATAAGTTTGTTGTGACATCTTGCCAATAAAAACATGATGAAGCTATGGTGTGCAGAGATGTCAAGCCAGACCTTATTCTTTTTTCTCACACTGTTTTTCTGAGAATAATAAGAAATGGAATTGCTAGAAGTGGGTATGATTTAGTTGTCCTGTGACTGTCTTCACCTTGTGTTGAGGGATGACTGTAAGAGCATTCTGTGTACTGTTAGTTCACGGTGTGTCCTTGTGTCTAGTGACCCCTCTGTCCCAGGTGGGTGAGTAGAAAGCTGCTGTGACATAGCTTTATCTCATGCTCTGGGTACATAGCCCAGCACAGGGTGCATGGTAGAAGCACCAGTTTGAGCTTCAACTCTTGTCACCTGTACTGGGTTAAACTACAGCAGAGAGTGGGTCCATAGATCCATACACTCATTGGGGCAACATTTATTGAGTGCCAGCTCTGTGGTAGGCACCATTCTGGCTCTGCGGAATGTGGTAGTAAGAAACACAGCCTAGGTCTCATATACCCTAGTGAGATCCACAGATACACAACGGTTCATACCCAGGATTGTATTTACAAGAATGGTACAGGCCATGAAGCAGGCAAGTGCCATGAGAGCATGTGACAAAGAAGGACCCCAAAATGGCATGCAAAGAGTTCAGGGAAGTCCTGCTTGGAATGTGCCTTCACTTAATCATATGAGATCATATGAATTAAATGATCAACCTAACCTGGCTTGTGTGAAGGACCCAAGGACAGAAGGACAGGAGAATATGGGTGATCTGAGGAAATGAGCCCAGAGTCCTAGGGGTCTTGGGGCTATGCATTGAGGCAAGAGAGATATGCTGCATCAGATGGCACTTGTAGGTGTTGGGAAGAGGTATTAATTTAATACCAAAGATAATAGGAAGCTATTAAAAGGTGATAAAAGATGATAGTGAGACAGTCACGGATGGGCTAAGAACATAAGGGCTCAGCAGGACATTGATTGTAAGGATTCTGAAGTAAAAAATTGGCCCCAATCAATTTTCTCATCCATGTTTTTACTATTTATTTGTACTTTCCCACCCTTCTTTTTAACAGACGGGTCTTCTTTATGTTTCCTGAACCCCTACTCCATTGCCATACTTCTGGCACTCCCCTGCTCCCCATAGGAAAGTTCTCTGCTCCTCAGTACTTATCCAGCTGTTGCCCTCCTTTAGAACCTGCTCACATCTGACTTTTCCATGAAGACTTCTTGGGTGATCATTCATCCATTCATCAAAGTACTAAGTGTAGTCAGCATATTAGGTATGAGTAATAAAGATTCATATGCTCTCATATGATTAAGAATGGTAAAGATCAAAGTTCTCCCAATCTTACTTCAATCATTTCCTTTAGAATTATTTCCAAGGTTCCCAGCTGAGCTCTTTAGCACAGCCCCTTCCCACAGCTCTAGATATCTTTTAGTTTTCTATTGCTGTGTAAGAAAATACCATGGATGTAATGACTTAAAACAACTGACAGTTATTATCTCACAGTTTCCATGGGTCAGGAGCCCGGGGAAAAACTAAGCTTGCTGCAAGCTTCAGGGACTCAGCAAGCTGCAATCAAGCTATTGACCAGGGCTGTGGTCTCATCAGAAGCTCATCTGGGGAAGAATTCACCTCTACATTCATTTGGATTTTTGGCAGAACTTATTTTTTGTGTGGCAGGACTGAGGCCATCCTTGGCTACTAATGGCTTCCTGCAGTTTCTTGCATGGTGAGCTTCCACTTACTTCGTGGCAGCTTTCTTTCTCACAGCCAGCAAGGCAAAGAGATTCCAGGGTTAGTCTTCTAGGAATCTTATGTAATTGAATCCTGGGAGGAATATACCATCACTTTTGTCACATTGCATTGATTAGAAGTAAGTGATAGGTCCTTCCCACTCCCAAAGGGAGAGGGATATATAGGTCATGAATGCCAGGAGGCAGGGATCTGGGATCTGTCTGCCACAGTCTATATCTTTCACCACTGCTTTTGAGAACTGGATGCCAGCAATATCAGATGTTTGTGGTTCTGTAAACATATCATGTCTTTTTACGTCTCTAGGAATTTATATATGCATTTGTGTGTGACTGAAATGTCCTTCCCTACTACATCTCCTTCAGTAATTATTCCTCAATGCTTTCTAACTAATACAAATGTAAGCATTCCCTTCTCTGTGATATCTTTGTTCTCTGGACCCATATCCATGGTCATGCTCATCATTAAGTGAGGTATATCTCTGCTGTATTAGACTGTAATTTCTTTGAGACTGAGGAGTATGTGTTCTTCTCTCCAGTGCTCACATCTAACATTTGATTAATAAACCTGGAGAATGGATAAAAGGTGATTTATTTAATGGGAAATGATCATTGATCTAAAATGTCAGTCTGTAACATTTTCGCCCTCATAATCTCTAAATAAAACTTTAAAAAGTATTTAGCCTCTCAGAGGTATTAGTCAGCTTTAATTATGTTATGCTGTTGTAACAAACATGCCCTTAATTTTAGACTTATAACAACAAAGTCTTATTTCTTGCTTACCTAATACTTTGGCTGTGACTCTGCTCCACATGGATTCTTTTTTCCAGGAATCAGATTCAAGAAGCACCTGCTGTTTGAGACATGCATTTTTAAGAGATAAAATAGCTCTGCCAGAATCATGCAATTGTTCTCAAAGCTTCTATGCAGCTATGGCTCACATTCTATGGGCAAAATAAGATCATATAACAAAACCTGACCCAAGTATAGTCTTAATATGAGGATGGCAGCAAATAGAAACAAATATACAATGTATCACAGCATCTAAACAATTTTCATTACAAGTTTACTGGTTGCAAATGTAATTTCTGACATATTGTGTATGTGCTTTAAATATTTTTGTCATAACCTTAGAACTCATTCAGTTTTTGAAAATGTCCAGTCATATAAAATCACTTTGGCAAAGGCAGTTCACACAGTCAAACAGATCAACCTTACTTTGTTGCCAGAAAAAAAATCTGATGTAAATTTTCAACTCAAATTGGTGCATTTCTATGGCAACCATTCATTCCTAACTCACAGACAGGTAGATAGACACATGATTAAAGGCACAGAGCTAGGTCATTATTTTTTTTTTTAAGATAAGGCTCCAGCCCTTTGATAATTCTTACTAAAGACTTCATTGCTTTGTTGTCAAGGGATTCCTTCCAGGAGCCATGCATTATTGAATTGTCCCCTTGTTTGATATCCTAGAGATTTATACTCACCAAAGAAATGTTCCAAAGCAAGATCTGGGTGGGCAAGAAATATGTAATATTTTGCCAAGTAGGGAAAATGGTGTCTGTGAAAGGGAAGTGCAGAGGCAGAATGACAGGCTGGTTGGGGGGCCAAGTTTAAGAGCATCTGTGGAGTCAAGGATCTGGAAAGTGATTTCCAATTTATTCACATTTGTGTATCCCTCTGGAAAGTCTTTGGGTTCCCACAGAGGTACACACAACCAATTTGAAGATTATCTCTATAGATTTGGGATGCTCTAGGTGCAAGTAAAGGTGCACCTAGAAAAATGAATTTTAAAAAGCGCAATGTGAAAGGGAACCAGAAGGAAGAAAGTGGAGTAACAAATATGATATTGTGAAATATGTATTTGGTCTTCCTCACATTTTTTGGGATATAACTTCTAAAGTCCATGGACTCTCCCAAGTGATATGTCCCTCTGTATGCTAATGAGATAACTGGTGGCTGGGGGTCTGTAGGTAGCTTCAGGATGGGAGCTAGTCACCGGAAAGACCAAGGCAAGATTAGAGAGCTGGGACTTTCAGTCCTACCCGCCAGCCCCTGGGAAGGAGAAAAGGGATGAAAGTTGAATTGATCATCAATGGCCAATGATGTAATCAATCATGCCTTTGTAATGAAGCTTCCATAGAAACCCAAAAGGACTGAGTTCCAGGTGCTTCTGGAGAGCTGAACACATGAGGGTTCCTGGAGGGCAGTGTGCCCAGTGAGAGTATGGAAGCTCCGTATTCCCTTCCCCCATACCTTGCCCTAGGCAACTGTTAATTGTATCCTTCGTAATATCCCTTATGATACACTGATAAGTGTAATAAACTGTTTCTCTGAGTTCTGTGAGCTGTTGTAGCAAATTAATCAAATCTCAAAAGGGGGTCATGGGATCCCCAATTTATAGCTGATCAGACAGAAGTATAGGTAACAACTTATTAACTGAGATCCCTTCTGCTCTGGGGTCCGGGAAGAGGTTGGGGGTGGGCCCAGCAGGGTGCAGAGACATGCCTGCTGCTGCTGCGGGTCTTCACCACCAACAACGGCCGCCACCACCGAATGGACGAGTTCTCCCGGGGAAACGTACCGTCCAGCGAGTTGCAGATCTATACTTGGATGGATGCAACCTTGAAAGAACTGACAAGCTTAGTAAAAGAAGTCTACCCAGAAGCTAGAAAGAAGGGCACTCACTTCAATTTTGCAATCGTTTTTACAGATGTTAAAAGACCTGGCTATCGAGTTAAGGAGATTGGCAGCACCATGTCTGGCAGAAAGGGGACTGATGATTCCATAACGCTGCAGTCGCAGAAGTTCCAGATAGGAGATTACTTGGACGTAGCAATTACCCCTCCAAATCGGGCACCCCCTTCTTTAGGGCGCATGAGACCATATTAAATTATTTCTTGAACTTATTTTTCAGTCAGTTGTGTACAATAAACTTTTCCTCCCCTGGGGAAAAAAAAAAGTGGGGGGAGGCAGTCTTGTGCGGCTGAACCCTCAACTTGTGGGATCTGATGCTACTTCCAGGTAGATGATGTCAGGATTGAACTGAATTAGAGGACACCCAGCTGGTGCCTGCTGCAGAATTGATTGCTTGCTTAATTTATGGGAAAAAACTTGGACACATTTGGTCACAGAAGCCTTCTGTGTTGATATCGTAGTGTGAAAGCAGAGGAAAAACAGTATTTTTTTCCTTCACAGAGAATGCTTACAGACAGAGTGTGAAAGCTGAGACATGAAAGCTTTCCTTGGCTGAAGCTGGCTAGGGGGATAACAAAAAACTTGTTCCTCCAAGAGAGAAGGAGAAACCAGTGATGGGGTTGGATAAGAAAAGAGAATTTGGGGATGCATCCCAGTGTGAGAAGTGATCATAATGGGCAAGTGTCCTGAAAGATGAATATGTTGGTGCCAGTTTGAGGAAACACCATGTATGCGGTCTTTCCGGTAGATTTCAGAAGAAGGTGGGGGAATAATTGATTTCATCTGCTCATCGCTAGTATGATTAAAACACACTTCAGAACACACACACACTTTCTTATTAATGAAGCCTATGCACCTTATACAAGAAACAAACCACAAAGCTTGGGAAGCACTTTTCTAGGACATATCCTGTCCCACTCCTACCCCTCTATCACCCAAGACTACCACTGCTATCTTCCTTTCTTCACCCTATCTTTCTTCTCTTTTTCTTGTCTTCTGCCCCTTTCCCTTTTGTTCTCATTTTCATCCCCAAAGCATTTACCTTGCCTCAGTTTTCCAATCAGCAATGAACACTGATTTAGAAGAAATCAACATACTTCATCCTTCACCTCAGGAAAGCTTAGGAAGTGTTTAGCTTGGGAAGAGCATCTCTGTTGGGAAAGTGAATCATGGAAGGTAGTATCTCCAGCCAGGAAAGTCTCTCTAGACAGGTACAATTTGGCACATCACCAAAGGGCTTGCTTAGGGTCCTTACTCAAATCTATGTTTGCATAGAACTGTAGGATGAGAGAAAGGGAGAGAAACTTAGTGACCACCTAATTTAAATTGTTCTTTTTACAAAAGAGGAAACTGAGGTCAAAGATGGAAAAAGAGTGTCCAAAGTTACATAGGACTGAAGTTTTTCCACCTTATCCTCTATTATACATGAGATAAATTGGGACTGGTGTTAAAGGTCCAGAAGGAATCCATTCATACACATACATAGGTGGGCAAGTGCACTCCTGGATGTATGTAGTAGTCTTAGCAAATGTAGTACACATAGTGTGTGCATGCTGCTCTTTATCGCCTTTCTGTTGGTTTTTTTATTTTTTTATTTTTTTATTGAATATAGCCAGCTCCTATTTACCTAAGAGTGGGATACTTACGGTAATTCAGTAACTCACTAGCCCATTTGTAACCATGCAGCAGCTTTAGGTCATGCTGGAAGGAAATGAGGGCTGCACAGACAGTGTACATATCTGAGCAGACATTTGTCAGTTCTGAGGCACATATGTCTGATGGAAATCTTAAGCAAAATATACCTGAGGCTAAGGCTGTTTAGCATGATTCATTCTCCCAGGAAGTGTTTGGCTGGCAGTGAGAAGATCTTGGTTCTAATCCAGCTCTGCCACTGGGTTTTCTCTGAATAGCCTTGGAAAGTTTCTTCCCCTCTTGAAGCCTCCATTGCAGCATCTTTAACATGTTAATTATACCCCATGGAGTCTTGTGAGAAGTTAATGTGGTGACGGGTGTAAAAGCATGTGATAGATGTTCAATTCTGCAGTAATAAAGGGAGTTTAATTTGTGTTACTGCCTTCCACTGCCAAGGAGAATTGAGGGTCGTGTTTTCATAGGTGAGCAATACCCTCATGCCATGCTCTCACATTGCACTGGAACCCCCGTGAGGGTCTCCCCTTCAGAGTCTGTTCTGACTAGCCCCTCAACATCTGAAGTGCTACCTGCTGGGTCCTTCTCCATCCTCTTCACTGGTTCTGTTTATATCTTTTGCACTCACAAGCCCCTGACTATTATACAGCATTTGTTCATTATCTTTCCCTCCTCATCAGAATGTAAGATTTAGGAAGGCAGGTCCTTTGGCAGTTTTGCTTACTGGCCTGATTCCAGAGGCCTAAGACAAACAGTGCCTGGCTCTTTTTCTTTTGAGATGGAATCCTGCCCTTGTTGCCCAGTCAGGAGTTCAATGGCGCGGTCTTTGCTCACTGCAACCTCTACCTCCAGGGTTCAAGCGATTCTCCTGCTTCAGCCTCCCAAGTACTTGGGATTACAGGCACCTGTCACCATGCCTGAGTAATTTTTGTTTTTAGTAGAGATGGGGTTTCACCATTTTGGCCAGGCTGGTCTTGAAATCCTGACCTTAAGTGATCCATCAGCTTCTACCTCCCAAAGTACTGGGATTACAGGTGTGTGCCACCGCACCTGGCCTAGCGCCTGACTCTTAGTGCCTGTTCAATAAATGTTTGTGAATGAATGAATAAATGGGAGACCTCTTGAAGAAATCTGACGCAGGCAGATGTAGCATCGAGCCACCAGGAGTTGTAGTCTCAATAGGAGATGGGGGTGACTTAGGGGTGGTGGTGATGGCTTGGGTGATCCACAAATTCAGATTCTGTGGCCTGAATGGATGATTTGAATGCCCAGAGCTATCTGAGCACTTTTGGCAGAATTTTATCTCTTTATTATACAGGAAGAGTTAGGGATCTACATCTAGGCATGGGTGGAGGTGAGACTATGGGAGAACGCTCATTCTAATTTTATTTTATTTTTTGGGATACATGTACTGAACATGCAGGTTTGTTACATAGGTATAATGTGCCATGGTGGTTTGCTACACCTAACAACCCACCATCTAAGTTTTAAGCCCCTCATGCAATTAGGTATTTGTCCTAATGCTCTCCCTCCCCTTGCTTCTGACCTCCCGACAGGCCCAGGTATGTGATGTTCTCATTGAGAACAGCTCATTCTTATAAGATTAGCAGGAGGAAACCATGAGGAGGTGAATAGGGGCTCAAAAAAGAGAAGCAGAAGGGCCCACAGAACTTAGAGGAGACTCTTGTGCCTTCTGCCAGTATGAGCCCGCTTTTGCTCAACAGAAGAAGTGATCTGGAATGAACTGTTTGCCCAACCTAGGAAGCATATTGGTGATTGGCTGTACATGTAACTTGGAAGCTTCTAGTTTTGTGAATTGAGCAAAGAATCTACCCACAAAGAACATTTGGAGCATGGATGGGAACTACAACTGATATTTCCTCAGCGAATGTTCCTAGGGGCAGAGATCTCAGAGCAAACCTGCTCTGAGCCGATTTCCAGTGAGTCGGGGTTGGTAAAGTGGACTGTTGTCCACAAGTTAGTCTCAAGGGTCTTGATCTCAATGGTGGTATATAAGGATATTATATTGTATGGTATTATCTCTTATGTTATACTGTGTTGTGTTGCAATGCTTTATTTACTGTATATCTACATTTGTATTTACACACACAGACACGCATACACAAACGAACAAACCTGTGTGTATGAGAAAAAGGCAAGAAAAGAGGAAGTTGGGAACACGTTGTGTGTCACTTGAGCAGTGCGACAAGAGCCTCAGAGAACTCCTCTCATAGTTCAGCTGTTCCAGCACCTGGAGTGCCTCTGCAGTGCTCTGAAATTCTTCTGGAGCCCCTGGTTGAAATGAGCCAAGCAGCACTTAAAAGAAATGAAAGAACACAGTTAATGCAGCTAATCCCCACTGCTGTCCCAGGTGGTGGCAGTGGAGCAGAATGCCAGCCATCCAGAACCTCGCTGTGGGTCGTGCTGGTTGGCCTGCAGCAATCCCGGGTCATTGCTTCTTTCCAGAGGCATACCTTGCGGCTGGGTGGTTGGGGGTCTGCCCTGGACTGGGCAGGCTCTGGGATGGGAAAGCTGCGGGGTCAGCGGGACTTTGCCTGGGCCTGTCTCTCTGAGAGAACAGCTCGCACTTCCCAGGTGTGTCTGAGTGTGGTAGATGGGGGAGTGATGAGGTGGGGACCCTGGTCCTGTTGCCCTCTAGGTGTGGTAGAGCCATGTACCACCTTGTGCTCTCCCTCCCAATCTCTGCTTTCTCGGGGTCTGAAGAGGCTTCCTTAGTGTGCCTGTGGGATCCCTGCCCTCCACACAGTCCTTCTGCCTTTGAGCAGCGGGGCTCATGTAGGGGTTCTGTAAGTTTCCTGTGAAGTCCCAGAGAAGCTGCTTTTCTCCCCAGGATGCTTTGTTCAGCCAGCCAAGTCAGGTTCCACTGGGGTCATGGGAAGTGGAGTCTTTTACACAGACATTTGCAAATGAGGGCTCAAACTTGAATCCGCAAGTTGGTGTTGGTGGCACAAACTTGCAGGGGTCTGTTCCCATCCCATGGCACTCCCACCCCAGCATCTGTCCCATACCTTTCCGGTTTGCAGAAACGTTCTGGTTTCCTTATAGTTTCAGTCTTCCCTGGGGTTCAGTGGGAGCCTTGACATGTGTGGACCCTGGAGATAGGGGTGGCTGGGAGCCTCAGGTCACCCTGGATGTCCAGTAAATGCTCAGGATTCAATGGCACTGGCAGGAACCTGTGAAACCCAAAGTCACCCATCAATTTCCAGCGTGTGTGAGGAGGACCACACACCATTGTTTTCTTTTGTGATACACTCCCTCCTTGCCCCCACCACCTCATGTTAGACTCAATGTTGTGTTATATCCAGGGGAGTTTTTCTTGGCATGATCATGGATTTGTCTCTATTTCTGACATAGCCCACAGAACAATTGTTCTCAAAGACAGCAAAAAAAAAAAAAAAAAAAAAAAAAAAAAAGGAGTAATTGTGACCAAATCCTCCTCTCAACCACCTGCTCCTTCATTTGCTGCCTCTCTGAAGAGCTTTAGATAGTACCATGGTTTCTTCTGCCCTCCTGGAAGCCCCACAGCC